GAAAATAAAATACGACACATATGACGATACTACAAATATCTCCTTTTAGGGCTTTGACACCACATTTCTGAGATGACAATAGCTGAGGCAAAGCAGAGAAACTTAAAAACCAACCAATGTTGAATACACTTATCCTGACAAAGCTAACCCCCAATTCAAAGCCACCTAAAAATATTACACAACACATCACTTTATGTCCAAAGACTTGCATCCACAGTATTGTGGAAAACAAGAATTTATGTTACACTCTGAGGCCACACTCAGTGTGTAACTCAGGTAAGTGATGTTTTTGCAATATTTTTTAGCGGACACAGCTGTAGCCAGGCTTCACAGAGAGGTTAAGTGTAAATCTGAGGTAGAGCTGGGCGATAGAACGATAACGATATGTATCGCGATATAACTTTTACTCCATAGAGAAATTAAGCTATCGCGATAGACCTCGCCGCTCTTGTCCTCTTAAAAAAAAAAAAAAAAAAAAAGATCAGCCAATCCAAATTAAGTAGCGCAGAGCCGAACCAATCACAGCCGCAGTGTCACGTCGCGTGACTTGTAACGTACCGCACAAGTGCCAAGCCGCACGTGTGTTTGTTTGGGAAGCAGCCAGCGGGTAATGGAGGAAATGAGTGTGCCGACTAGAAAAATCAACCGAGCGTGACCGAAGAGAAAACAGATGATGGTTCCAACGCCGGAGAGATTGTCGAACGGAAGAGCCATAGAAGTTCTGTAGTGTGAAGGTATTTCGGCTATTTCAAGTCTGACAAAAAACAGAGTAGCGTGCACTGTAAATTGTGCCGAAAGCAAGTCTGGAAATACAATGAACTGGTGCATGCGTCACACTGTGCGCCACGTTATTGTTTCGGTGAAATGAATTTCTACAATACTGTTAATTCTACTCTCTGCAGTGTTTAAATGCTTACATATACACACAGTTACTGTCCCTCCACACATACGACTCGGTTCTGCTTCTATGCCCCAGCTTTGTTTACTTTTTCCCACCAAGGCTTCTAGACTTCTGATTGGCCAACATTTCTGCACGGTTAGGAATCTAGCGCCACCTGCTGCTTTGGCATGTTCATAGCAGCGTTTTCCTTCATTTCTGCCTTTATGTGTGGACGGGATTATTTTTTAAAACGAAAACGGAAAATCTCCGTTTTCAAAAATACCCGTGTACGTGTGGACGTAGCCTCAGTCTCTGACTGGAAGCGCTAATTCGTCATTCGGCTTTTGTCAGACTAAAGTAACTGTTAAAACTGTTTGAAAAGCTAAGCTATACAACAAGGAGAGATTGAGAATTTCCTTTTAGTTCTCAGTTTATTTGATATTGACAAAAGTTAGTCAGTTTTGTCTGATCTTCTGTAAAACAAACTAAGATTTATTTTTAGAATTAATATTTTGTTTCTAAGTGGAATTGACAATTTAGTCTGTTTCGTTTGTTCTATTTTGAAACTTAAACGCTTTAGCGGCTGCCTTTTGTGTAGTTTGCAATATTTGCCTTTATTTATCTGAAAAAGTCTCATGTTCCTTAAGTACATCTACCCTGTTGAACTTATTATGGGAAATAAATATTTAAATAAAAACAAGCTGCTGATTAGTTCACATTTTACTTGTGAGCAACGGCACATTTAAATCTTACAAATATAGTTATTTGGCTTATATCGTGATAGATATCGTTATCGCCTGAAATGAAAAAAACATATCGTGATATGAAAAAATCTCATATCGCCCAGCTCTAATCTGGGGAAGGATTGAATACAGGAAAGAATGCAGTAAAGATTGCATTAACTTATAATATGTACATGTGACAGGCTGGGGATTTATATGAATACAGTTAGTGACTACAGCTCTATATCTCACTTAACTTAACTGGCAACTGTTCTTTCAACACCTGTATTAGTACAGAAGTACAGAAGCCACTTTATATTGGAAATATACAATATAGACCCTACAGACCCTACAATGAAACAATCAGGTGACTCCAAGGTAATGGCATCCAGAGTAAGTATCATGTTAAATGCAATGGTTCTAAGGTTTTAGGGTGTAGTACAATAACCTCAGTTTTATCTGAATTTAAAAGTAGGAAATTAAAGGTCAACCAGGTCTTTAATAGGTCTTTAATTGGTGTGAGTCATCTGGCTTAATGGATAGACAAACCTGTGTTTCTCCGAAGTTTTTTAGAGGGTGGGTTATGGTGTAGAGTCCTTTTTGAGTTCTTTCCACTTCAGCATGCAATTTCCCAACTTTGTGGGAACAGTTTGGGGAAAACCCCCGCCTGCTTCAACTGGAATATGTGCAAAGTAAGGTCCATAAAGACATGGATGAGCAAGTTTGATGTGAAAGAACTTGACTGGCCTGCACTGTCTTGACCTCAACCCAACAGAAGAGCTTTAGGATGAATTGGAGCAGAGACTGCAACCCAGGCCTTCTCATTCGACATCAGTGTCAATCTCACAAATGTGCTTCTGTAAGAATGATCAAAAATTTCCATAAACACATTCATAAACCTTGTGGAAAGCCTTCCCTGAAGAGTTGAAACATTTTGTAGCTGCAAATGGTCGGCTGAGATCATGATGAAACCTATGGATTAAGAATGGGATGTCACTTAAGTTCATATGCATGTGAAGGCATACGAGTGAATACATTTGGCAATATAGTGTAGCAACAACATATCTCCTTTTTAAGAGTTTTCTGTGTTTTCCTGAACAGATGGTTAATAATGATCCTGTGTAGCAGGTGAAATGACCATGTTACACTCAGTATCCGCAGACTAGTGGAGTGTGTGATACACTGAGCGAGAATAACAATAGTAAAAACCCAGCCTTTGCTATTTCTTCTCTGCTTTTATCTCAGTGCTAAGCCACGTCCACAGTTTCAAAGTGAAGCCTACAGCACCAAGATGCAGAGTGCTTTCATACATCTGGCATAAAAGTGAAAGAAACCATTGATCATACTACTGTGTGCCATTATTCACTATCGTTCCCTCAGGTCCATCTCACGGGCACTGAAATTTCTTGAAATTGTACACACATATAAACACACACACATACACACACACATATTAAAAGTTCAATGAAGATAGTAATAAAGACATCTTTCCAACAAATAACTGATACTTTTGATCATAACTTAGTTAACTATACATGTGCACCAATTCTCGTCTCTGCTCAGAGAGATAATTTATGCTCCTTAATAATAATGTATACTTTATTGATCCCCGTGGGGAAATTCCTCTCTGCATTTAACCCATTCACTCAGTGAAGCAGTGAGTAGCCACTATGTAGGGATGGTACCTTGCTCAGGTTACCTCAGGGTAGCCGTTTAGTGGAGTCAAACCCCCGACCTTCCGATCATGTGGCCACCACTCTACCTGCTGAGCTATCACTGCCTTCTGTGTAGACCACCGGTCCTTGGGTTTTGTCTAACAGTGAGTCAGAGGAGAAAACCAGGACCAGTAGTGTGAAGGAACTTATTAACTACACTTCATGGGCTGTCGTGTTTAAACATCAGTGTGTGAAATCGATGCAATAGCTCAATAGTTCAATAATCATTTCAGAGGTGTAATGATATGTAGCACATTACTATAGAGGTATTGACTGCAAGACTTTCTCCAGTATTACTCAGTAAAATGGCTGTCCAGCATTAATGTTACATAGGCTACACACAGATACTGTGTACTCTCTACCTCAGCTATTCAGGAGCACTAAAGATACTGAAGCAAGGTAAGACTGGAGCTCAGTGTGTTTAATGAATAGTGATGAAGCATTAGTATTCCCCGTGTGCAGACAAACTGGCTTCTTTGTAGGCTCTCTTCCCTCTCCATTTGAATGACACAGAGAAATCAAAAGAGCACCGGAGAGGCACAGAGGCCTTTCATCTGCCACCGAGCAAAAGCAAGTGAAAGAACAGGGCAGAGAGTTAGAGGAACCAAGTCGCTGCTTCTTCTCTAGATTATCATTTTTGCTGTGCGCCAAAAATCTTCTATGGTGTCGCGTTTGCTTTCTCACTCTAGTCATCTGCCAGACTCTGTTTGCACAAAAAAATGGAAGGTCTTCAGAGGGTGATGACATCAAGCTGAGTTCAGATTTGGAGTTTAAGTCACATACCCTCTAGAATGACTGTTTTCTAAAACTGAGTCGTTTTCAAGGGGTCACCTTACACTGATAAGTTGAAATGTTTGCCTACTGCTTTAATAATGTGTAAATTATAGAAAATTTATACCCCTTATCTAGTAAGGTGGGATTAAGAGAGAGACTGAAGACCCCCGAACATACTTCTCAGACATCTGAGAGAGGGTAAAAGGTCTTAATGTCCAGCCTTTTATGTTTAAAATAATACAGAGTGCTATAACAGAGCTTGTCTATATGTGCTATTGCTAATAGTAAATTATCTTCATTCTTAATCTGTGATATAAAGCAAAATATAAGCCTGAATAATATGTTAAATGAGAAATTAGATGAGTAATGGAAATGTTTTTCCAAGGAGCCACTAATCTAAAAGAATGTCAGACTTTTTAAATGTACGATTTAATAAAATAAATTGTATTGAGGGTGATCAGCAAAACCAGAGTTTTAAAGAGAAGAAGAAAAATAAAGTACTCTTACACAACTGGATTAAAAGGAGATTATATAGAAATAGATGCTCATGTGAGAATGAACTGAGGATAAATCTAACCAATGATAAATTGTATGAGCTGAATGAAACAGGAAGTGAAGTATATTCATATGTGACTAAATGTTCATATGTAATGGAATTGTCTATGTTAAGAATAACATAAAATAAAAAAGAACATGTAATGAAGTGCTTTTGAGGTTTAATGTGGTTTCAACATACAATTTAAAACGTCAGATAGCTACAGAGAGATTGATAAGGTGTGGCTAAACATCAGGTGATTAGATGCTAACACATGATTGGATGAGATGACGTCTGGCCTCACTAATGGTAACAGGTGATGTGACAGCCAGTAATAAATTAGGGAGAAAGGATGACCAGGTATAAAAGTGGTTCTCCCCTTTAACTTCTGCAAGATGAGCAGGTCAGAATTACAGCAGAGACACCAGAAGAATCAACTACGGCTCAAACTGTGAACCTGCAAACTGGTAGTTTTCTGCTTTTTTTCTGCTTATTTGTGTCATGTTATATTATAGAATCAAGAGGATTTGGATTTTCTCACAGTAGGTTAATGAGATAAGCATAGTTCAGGTGATTTTAAAATTTTATATTAATTTTATAATTATTATTATTATTTGATTCAGCTGCTTAATAAAATAACCTGCAATTAATGTCTAAATTGTGAACATTCCCTTTTTAACCCTTTTGTGAAACAGTAAAAATAAAAATCCAAGGTTACTCAAGCCCTTTAAAAAGTAAGTCTTGGAAATAAGGAAGTAAGCCTGAGGTCTAAGTGCTCTAATACGGTGATATGGTACTATGAGGTCTTTAAGATTGGGCTTCATTAGATGTGGGGAATTATCTTAAATTTGATTCTGGATTCAACAGAGACCCAATGAAGAGAAGCCAATATGGGATAAACATGCCCTCTCTCTTTCTAGTCTCTGTCAGTGGTCGCTGCAGTATTCAGGATCAACTGAAGGCTTTTTTAGGGAGCTTTTAGGACAACCTGCTAATGATGAATTACAATAATCCAGTCTTGAAGTAATAAATGCATGAACAAGTTTTTTACCGTCACTCTGAGACAGGATGTTTCTAATTTTAGAGACAATGGGTAAATGCAAGAAAGCATTTCTGTATATTTGTTTAGCATGTGCATTGAAGGGCATATTCTAAAGCTATATTTTAGACAAATGCAAATGCAAAACTGACTGTTTTTGTAAATTACTTTAGATATTTATCACATTTTCTTTTTTCCCGATTGAGAAGACTTGGTAGGACAATTGTTCAAATAATTACCAAATTTCTTATACGAATTTCCTAACCAAAAGTTTAATGATGAATGGACTGGATGGATGAATACATTAGTGGATTGTTTTCTTCATATAACCATTTTACCAATAACCATTTTACCACAAAAGACTTTAGCTACTTATAGAAATAAAAATCAAAAGATATAGTTGACATTATTAGTTGAAAAGAGAGTGCTCTGCACCGCAGTCATTGCCTTTGTTTTTGTACGCTTTCAAGCTCACTTTTCAGCCAGTCAGTATTCTTCCTACACAGCCTTATTCCTTTTGGACTATGTGCTGTCGATTTTGTCGAGCACAGCACTGAAGGATGTCTGCATAGGTTGCATACACAAAATGAGGTGAGCCACAATGAGCCACAAATACAGTACTCAAAAGTAATTCCAAATTTAAAAGTTCTTTTGAGATTGAAGTCACAATACAATTTTGAGAATAAAGTCTTATAGGTCCTTATACTGATCACGTGTATATCTGTGCTAAAAGAGAAATTATTTCCTTGTTAATGAAACAGATTGTGGAGTACAAAATCACTAACTTCACCTGTTGGCACAACCAGGTAGTGCAACAAATACAGAATACATTATATTGCCAGTTAATTTATATTTGGTGAAATTAATGGCACTTAATCAAATAAGAATATTTGTCACCAGCAACCAATGTTCCCTCTAAGCTGCGCACGTGTGCAATTGCGCACTGTTGGCACGGTCTCTGCGCACAGAAAATCTGCGTTGCGCACACAAAAAAATTCTAACCTGAATTGAAATTAAAGTAAATATGTGCCAACACCGGTGTTTTAGCTAGCAAAGCGGCATGGCTGATGTGGAGTGAAGCCACATTAATGACAACGTGTACAACCTATGGAGATGTGAGCAGGACAGACGGAAGAAGTAACGGAAAAACTGTGGACTTTATACCAGTTTTTAAATTGTGTTGATAGGCCACGTAAAACCAGAGTTATGATAAAAAAAAATGCAATGTTTGGTTTTCTTCCTGAATATTATCGTTGTTTATATTTACTGCAGGAAGAAACGGTAAAAACTGCGTTTTATAAGGAAAACGCTTGAAAGAACTCTCTGCCTGTGAGCAAAGACGAAACCAAAGCATCCCCACCCTTTCCCATTGGTCGAAAAATGTACCATGTCGACCAATCAAAACATGGCATTTAGTTGTTAAGAAACGGGAGGACGTTTTAGGAGTGGTGCGGTGTTTTGAGATGTGAGAGATTTGCAACGTTTAGCACAAATCTTGTGTAGTTAGTGTGTAGTGTAGTCAATAGTTTTGTTGTGTGTGTCAGAACAATGAGGCGACAGTGATACATCTCCTGCTGTCAGGCCTGCAAGTATCAGGCTGTTGTTCTCCTTTATCTCATAGTGGACAGAAATTATTTTTTGGAGTGGCACAAATAATTTGTTTGGCATCAGATTTGATGCAGACCAGCTGATTGTTCTGTAAATAGTTTGAAATGTTTATTTTAAAAAAACGCCTTGGCTGCATTTTTAGGTAAACAGCTGCAAAAAACTTTGTTGTTTGCAAAACTGAGTTACTTTTTTGAACAAGTAACTATATAATTAATTGCCCAACATTGGTCATTATATTCTGTATTTTGCAGACAGAGTTACAGGACCCTCTCCCAGACCACAGACTCATAATACAAGTCAGAGCTTTATTTTTTTTAAAAAAGAAGAAGAAAGTTGTGTTTTCAAAATTGGAGTTCAAGTTATTTTTACTTCCAATAGTGTTAACATGCTACACAGATCATGAACAAGATTTTTTTTTTTTTAATTTTCATTGTAAATGGGCTAAAGCAGTTAACTAAAAGTAGTCTACAACAGAAATGTAAATGCTGTAATTTTATTATTTTAATAAACCATGTAACTTGGATGGATTCGACGCTGGCGTGACCACAGTGCACACGTCTGCTGTCGCTCACATGGGTCCACGAGATCGCTCAGGGAGTTTGTGTGTTCACTCAGACACATGAAAAATTAGAGGGAACATTGCCAGCAACTTAATTGATATTGACTTGTAATATAACTGCTGATTTTAAGGTTCAACTGAAATAAGTGGAGAAATGATAACTAAACGTAAATCGAGAGAAAATGACTCCTGAAATAAGTAAGTTAGTAAGTTACTCTGGTGTTGTTGAAACTCCTGAAACACTTCAGCATTGATAGAGTGCCGCTCCCTCATTCCTTGTGCATGCACAGAGAACTTTAACAAGACAACAGAAAGATTAATGCGAGCCTGTTATCAAGTTACCCACAGAATGAGCATTAATTAGTAACAGCTGATATGAGCCACCACTGGTAGCATTTTCCATTTTAATCAGTGAAAGCGACGATTAGAGACAGATGAATGTGGTAAGCTGCTGTCAATGTTCCATACACTGATCTTTGATAATGATAAGTAGCAGCACTGTTTAGAGAATATATTTGCAAGCCTGAAGATCAAAACTCACCTATGCATCCCAAAAAATTTCCATAATCAAACTTCAATTACAGCTTGTATGCAGTGAAATGCTTGCAGCATAAAGCTCAGCAAGGGTAAAGGATAGTGTTTCAACACCAGCAGCCTAACTTGAATGAAATTACAACAGAGAAAGAATCAGATTTTAATCATCTTAATTTTAGACCATACTGATCCATTAAGATAAGCTAGGATCTGCCCTTACACTGGTAATTTTATACATTGCACCAATCATTCCTTGGTTACCACAGGCCAGCTCCAAGCAAAGATGCACATCAGCTGAATATATCTTGCAAGATGTTACATTTAAACCACTTTGTGTATTTAAAATTGTTTAGAAAGTAATTTTTCTACATTCTATGATTGTGCTCAGCTTGAACAAATTCAGTGGACCACAGATGCTCCCACAATCAACCACTGGTGTGGGACATTTTAATACTTTGAAAGGTTTGTGCTGGATTTTTGTTTTTCTCAATGGCAAAAGGTTCATTTCAAAGAGATGGCTTAGGCCTAAGTAACCTAAGCAAGGCTGATTAGCAACCTGAAAGACTGAAACACAAACGTCTTATGAACCAGGAAAAGAAATTTTTATTGATTAAATAATTCCATTTAAATTTTCCAAAAGGCACCAACAGAATAAACAAGTTGGAGAGATCAGTCAGTTAAGTTAATCAAATTAGCAGAGGTGAGAAAGCAAAGAGCTAATGGCACTAAGTGGCCACATCTCTAATTCCAGTAATCACAACAGATGTGTTTCATTTAAAAAAAAACAAAGAAAAACCAACAAAATCAAATGGTTTCTTCACTTGAGACACTTTGCTAGGTATTTTCAGCATCGACTTTAAGTTGAAGATTGTTTGTGTGTCGTTGTTGATTTGGTCGCTCCTAAAGCTCTTGCTGTCTCTGCTAGGTTTGTTTGTTTTTTGTTTTGTTTGAAACCTGGTCTTATTAGGAGGATGGATACCATCTCTGGTACTCCTACTGGAGTTGTTTATGACCATGGTGTCCTTTAAAGCACATATTAAACAAATATGTAGAACTGCTTTCTTTGATTTCCACAATATCTCTAAAATTAGAAATATCCTGTTTCAGAGTGACGCTGAAAAACTAGTTCATGCATTTATTACTTCTAGGCTGTACTATTGTAATTCATTTTTTATCAGGGTGTCCTAAAAACTCCCTGAAAAGTCTTCAGTTGATCCAAAATGCCGTAACAAAAGTACTGCCCGGTACTTCATTGGCTCCCTGTTAAATCCATAAACTAATTTCAAATCTTGCTCCTCACATATAAGGTCTTGAATAATCAGGCCCCATCTTATCTTTATGACCCTATAGTTCCATATCATCCCATTAAAAATCTCCACTCTCACATTGCGGGCTTGCTTGCAGTTCCTAGGGTATTTAAAAGCAGAATGGGAGCTTTCAGGCCCCTCTTCTGTGGAATCAACTTCCAGTTTGGAACTGGGAGATAGATGAGGCTTAAAACGTTCCTTTTCAAAAGGGTATATAGTAAGGTTGGATCAGGTCACCCTGAGTCCTCACTTATCATTAGCAATTAAAAAGCTTCAGTGATTTATCTTCGTAACCTTTTGCTGCTTTCCTTTTGCTCACCAACATGTGTGATGTAAAGAAAATGGAATATGTAAAAGATGTTAATAACCCCTTCTGTACATTACCAAGCAACGCTTGGACAATAATGCTGAGGGGACTGTAATTCTGACCATGTCTGGTCTAATAAAACACCCAGTTATTAAGGTGCAGTCCCTGCCAGAGCTTTCAGATGTTTGACTGAATGTAATGAGTTGAAAACACTTCACCTTCATTTTTTATTGTTTTCATTCCCCCTGTAGATATTGACAGTAAACAATGTCACACACTGCTTAAACCTTTCAGTTGATTTTTTTGTTATTAATATATTTTAATATGCTTTTTCTTTTTAATTAATATGGAATCTTGTGTTTCTTAGCCCATGAAAAACTGTTTTCAGTTTTTTCACACAGGTCAGCCACTACAAACGTTTGGCTTATAGATTATGATGCTGAACATTAAACAAAATATGAAGTATTTAAAATGCGCTCAACCTTAAACATATGCAGCAGTAATATTAATCCGTTTAATGCTGATGGGGAACGTTTTTCTGCAGAATAGTCATTTTTACTTTTGATATTGTATGCACAATTTTCCAGTAATACAATTTTAGGAGCAGTGAGGTGTCTTCCATTGTGCTTTATTGCTTCTTCTCCTGAAAGAAAATTTCCTCCACCACTTGTCAAAGTCCACTAATAATAAATACTTTATGGTAATATAGTAGATATTTATTTAACTATAGAAGTAATAATATGCAGACAAGCAGCACAAATGTTTCAATCTGATCCAATTTATCATATTAAATTGTTAAATATTGGAGGAAGATCTCTTTGTCTGAGAAAGAAAGCTAATTCACAATGGCCTTATTGTTTGTGTGAGAAAAAAAAACTGTTGATTGGCAGTTACTCAGACCTTGGCCACCATCATCTCTAGGGTTTACAGAGAACAGTCAGAACACATCCAGGGAGTGGCAGTGCTCTGGTTGAAAATACCTTGTTGATGCCAGGGGTCAGAGGAGAATGGCCAGAGAGCTTTGAGCTGATAAGAAAGAAACAGGCACTCTAAATAACCACTCATTATAACTGAAATATGCAGAAAAGCATCTTTGAATGCACAGCCTGCACAGATGAGCAGCATATGACCACACCAGCTCTAATTCCTGTAAGCTAAGAACAAGAAACTGAGGCAACCCTTCATACAGAAGCACCAAAATTGAACAACAGAATACTGGAAAAACATTTGCTGGTCTGATAAGACTCGATTTCTGATGCAATTTTTGCATGGTAGGGTCAGAATTTGGCTCTAATAAAACATGAAAACTTGGATCCATTCTGTCTCGTATTAACAGTTCTTCTTGACAGTGGTGGTTTGATGGTATGGGGGATATTTTCTTTGCAGTACCACCTGAGCATCATTTAAATGCCACAGTCTACCTAAGTATTGTTGCCAACTTTGTCCATTCCTTCCTATGTTCATCTTCTGATGCCCGCTTGTATCAGAATGTGGCATTGCTGATCATCTCAGACTGTTTTTTCTTTTTTAAGATGAATTTGAGTTAACTGTGCTCAAATGGCCTCTACTCACCAGATCTCACATTAATAAACGTACTATTTGTAAACTGGCATTGAGTGTGATACTCTGGTTTCCCATTTCAGTTGATTGTGCAGCTCTTATATGTTTAATCTTCTCTGAATTCTTTCTAAATGTGATTAATGCCTCCCCATCTGACGTGTGTTCTATTATGTTTTTTCACAAGATCATAAAAAGAAATTATCACTTCACTTTTTCACCTGCTGACGACTAAAAGAATGTGATGTTTGCACTAATTAAGCACGCAAAGTTTAAAAACTACACTGAACACCTGCATACAAGTGATGACTGATCTTGTTGATGTAAGCATCAAAACATGTCTATCAGGAAACCATGTATCAAAAGGTTTTATAGACTGTGAATGTAGGAAACGAGTGTTCACACTGTGTATATTTATTGGGCCTCAAGGTCTTCTTGTTGTTTCAGTTTCTGCAGTCAGACTTTCTCTGCTTTGTTGCCTTGGTGGTGCACGCTTCTCTCTTACAGCATTCAGTATTTTCTCTGCTTCACCACAAGATATGGGATAACACAACATGTTTCCTTGTAGAAAGACATAGGGGATAATATGCTGACTGCACAGCCTTGTTAATTTAAAATGATTCAGATTCACTAACATTCAAAAGATGGTAATAACAAAATCAGCTAGTGTGCACTTTTCATGAACCTTTTAGTAATTTTGCATGTGCGCATATTTAAAGGTAAGAGCATTTCTGCACATATTCTGAGACATTCAAAAAGTTGTCCCAGGCGTAGCCAGTATAAAAGATGGATGTAGCCACCCATTAGTTAGTAACTATCTGTTACGAAGCCAAGAGGTAAGTCATCATGGATCACTGATAATCCTTCTTTCTCACTTATAAATTGACCAAAATATCCTTTCGAATTCAATTTTAAACTAGTGATTGAGTAATGAATAGCATGTAATGAGGTCTTCTATACAACTGGGAGTATTTTTGAAGTCATATGAATATCCAGCTGCTGACAATTAAAAACAATGTAGGATGAAGGCATGTCCACATCGGCTTTATTTTTCAGATCCAGAAGCTGTGTCCATCTTTTATACTCCCAGGCTATGGTGGGTCGCCAGACTGTTACATGTGTCAGTTTTGCAAGTCTCTCACAGATTCTTTCACATCGGTCATCTTTCATCTGGATCAGTGCAAAATCTCAGTGTATACTCACCTAATAGTGATTGTGGCAGGGGTGTGGTCTCTGACTCTGCTGCAATGGAGGGATGGTCGGGTGAGCTCACAGGGCTGCCCCGGGAGAATGAAGGGGACAGGTGAGAGGGATTACAACTAATGAACTCTGCCCTTTTTAGTGCCTGGAGTCAGGAAGGGAAGGAGCTGGAAAGATGGCTTCCCGTGGAATATATACAGTGTCGGAGCAGTGGGAAATGCTGTATTTAAACATAAAGGTACTTTATAAAGGTAAAGAGTTTAAATTAATGAAGCACAAATACAGTAAATCATTGTGATGTCAGATTCGTATGTAACTATATAACTATGCATGATTATGATGGTACAAAATGGTATAAGTGTACCAAAACCCCTGTTTCTCTATACCAGAACATGTTATGCTGTCATGTTAAAACAGAGTTTAAAAATGGCCTTGTGTTTTTATAATGCAGTTCTATTCTTACTGACCAGTGAAAGTGGGGGTTTTTTGTTTTGTTTTTTACAACAAGCTATGTTCAAATACATTCATATAGCACTTTATTCTTTGTGCTTTAAGTGCTTTGTAATCTGTCATGTATGCTTTCACATTCTAATGGTTTCATTTCAATTTGGTTTTCAGTGTCTTGCCCAGGGTCACTGTGATATGTAGACTGGGTGGACCCAGGATCTAATTCTGGAAAATACAGCAGCTGTAGCTAGCAGACACAGTGTGTGACAAACAGTTGTGTGTTTGATGATATTTGTTGAGCTGATGGAAATGTTTAATTTAAAATGACCTTCCACATTAAAGTGTTATGCTGAAGTACACTGACCGCAGTTCATGGGCATCTGCACAGAAAACACTGTTCCAAATGGTTCTGGCTCACTTTAACCCCTCTGTATAGCACAATAAAAGATTTTGTAAAATTATGTTGTTTTTCCTCTCTTAGTATGCAAATAAGTCTTGGTGATGGACACACCAATAAGATGGTCCTTTCTGCATTACCTCCACTTGTGCTCAAATCCAGTTGATTTTTGAAGGGTCAGTGACATGAAGTTAACAAGCTTGTTTTGAAAATGTAAGGAGCAGAAAGTACAGCCGTTTCTGTTAAAACATATAAGTGTTCAGAAAACATAAAAAGAACTTGTTACTGAATAGTATTTGTAGTACTTGTGCTCTATGTGTGTGAAGGTTCTCAGTCGTCCAGGTCGTCGTAGTCCAAGGAGCTTGGAAAGAAAAGCGTCTGGACTTCTTTAAGTTGCTTGAAGACGTTTCACCTCTCATCCGAGAAGAAGAGCCACCTCGACGGGACAAGACTTGGCTGTCCATCTGCATCTAAAGGGCAAAGGTCACTCTTTCGAGGATGCCAACGTTCACATGACAGAAGAATAGCAGCAAGAACGAGAAGCTTTACAAGATAGAAGTCTTGACAATAGCCCTGCTTTGATGTATGGTCTGCATTAACAAAAAGACAGGAGGTGGAGGTAGCAGAGTTGAAGAGTGAACATGATTAGAAATGAACACGTTAGTGGGATAGCTCAGATTGAGTGGTTTCTTTGACTGTATGTATAGTGCTTTACAGTGCAGGGCATGGAACTGTGACAGTTGTGGCGTTATCAGAACTGAGGTCTATGTGCAGGTCAGTGTGTGCAGAAGTGCTCATATGAGTCTCGTGTGACCAGGTCACGCAACCTCTGACAGCACCAGCCTCTCTGGGAGCTTATTGTTCCACAGAGAGCTGAGGATGAAGATGCACGTCCTATGCACTGTGAGCCACTGGGATAAAGCAAGTTCATTATTGACTCGCCCTCGGCCATCGCTTCACATCTTCCCTCCCCCTCTGAGGATGGGGGAACAGTCTCATCAGTTTTGCCCTGCACTGCCACAGGCTACCCTGACTGATGTAGTATCTTCTTACCAAACGACATATTTGCCGACCTTCATAGACATTCTGTTATCCTCACCTGACATAATCAATGATTACCACACTGAATAAGACATTGTAAAATACACACACACACGCACACACAAACACACCGGCTTTTTAGCATTGGCAAACCTAGCATCTTGAAGTATGTTGCACAGACCTTTTTTCTAATGTATAGACAGAGCTTTGGGTCCATTTCCTTGTCTAATCTAATTTAATATACTGTAATGTAACATTGTGTCCAGCATAAGATGAATCTATGTTATGGATTTGGAGATAAAGCAAACTCAGATGGAATCTCCCAGTAGAGAGCAGAGCATACATCTCCAGTCACCCTCTCTCTCCGTGATCAATCTGCCAAAAAAACTGAAAACAATATTAATTAATTCATGTGGCTTCACATCGCATGGCTTTAACCTTAACAGAAAGCCAGCAGGGGGGATGAGATGGATCTTTTGTGTTTGTGTTTGCACAGCTTGCCTTCTGCAGATTCGTGATGCCAGGGTGCCAGGGTGTGCTACCCTCCAAACAGCCCCTCCTGCCGGCTCATTTGGCTCTTGGAGAACAAAATGCCATTTGATTACAGAAATGTAAAAGCTATGGACCTAACACAGCGTGAGATAAGGAAAAAAGCCAGCTCTACAAATCCTGATGAACTCATCCAAAGATGAGCTGTAAGCCACCGCCATCAGATCAGTCATGGAAATCAGCCTGGCATTATTTGTTATTGGCTTAGAGCATGCAACAGCGGCTCAATGTGTCTGCACTTTAATGTGGATATAAATAACTTATGAGTGAGAATTTGAACAGTCAGAAGGCTTGTATGAGCCTGTTGTCATCGCTGTTAGCACGAGGGTGTGATGATGAAAAAAGCAAAACAATATAAAAAATACTAAACTATGTTATTAATGTGGCTAGCTTTAGTCATTACTGCAGGTAATTCAGGTTTAAACCTTAGTCCGCTCCCTTTACATAACAAGCTGATAATCTGCCCGAGAACAGTTTCCTGTAACTATATGTGTAAAAAAGCCCCGAGATGACTCAAAACCTCAAGATAAGCAGCTCCACATATCTACAGAGCCTCCTTTTTAATTGAGTTCCACCACTTGAACACAGCCTTTCAGTGTGAGACAATGGCTCCTATAGTAATTACAGTAAACGCTGCTGCAACAATGAGTCTCGCACTGTTCTCTGAATCAGATCAGTGGTAAAAAGAAAAAAGGCAATAGCAGTGGAGGTAAATAAGGAAAAAAAACACACATTTCCAGGTTTGTGAATTGTAATCTGACATAAACAGATGCTTTGAGGAGCGCGTCATCCCCATCCTTTTGTGTGCTGCACACAATGGCAACTGTGTTTTTCATCCAACATGCATTATGCAGCTTTTCATCATTTTTAAATGCAGGGAAGGCAGATAGATTCATTTGAAAACACAAGCAGCGAATGCAATTGAACAAGGAACACAAAATAAGGACAGGCCAACCAGACAGCTCAGTGTGACCTCTGACCTGTGTTCACATTTTTTCACTGTTTCTGGAGTTCATGCACCTGCTGTGTTAGAAATCCTGTCAGTGTCCTTCCTCTCCTTTCAAGGCGCAGTGGGAGTACAGTATATTGAGCTTGGAGGGTAGCAGAGGGTCAAACAGTGAATCAGTGAAGCTTTTTTATCCACTCATTTAGAGGGAAAAAAAGGAAAAACTAGATGTGACATCACATGTGAAGCGCCACATGCAGATTAAGTGTGCCGGGCCCTTGATCAATGGGATCATCAGGACTCTCCAATTAAAGAGGTGGTTTAATACTAGAGGGTCTGTTTGGTGGTAGTTATAAAAAAAAAGTCCATTAAAGTTGCTAATTAAATGATAAGCATAAATTAAAACACAGGTCAAGAGAGTGAACTGTCTGGTGCTTTTTTGTTAGCACCAATATCTCTTGGATGTATGAGGCGGGGCTAGTGAGGGATTTTTTTCTGGTGCTGCTGGTTGGGGGAGGCGACAATCTTGTTTGTTTTTTTTTAAATCACAAATGCAAAAGTGTTTAAAAATGCCTTTTTGGACTTAAGCGTCTGCCGCACATCCATGTAGGACTCCGTGGGGGAGGGGAACTGGGGCATGAAATGAGAAGGCGGGTGTGTAAAAATGTGTTGAAGCTCAAGTTTTCTTCTTTGCAGTAATAAATCTGCATTATTATTAATTCAAGATGTAAAAACCGAATATTGTGATACAATATTAATGAGAAATTCCTATTTGTGGCTCAAGATAGCCTCCAGTCCTGGACACATTAACAGCCACTGGGTTGTGTACACAGCCAGATATGCAAAGGACACCCCCCATTCTAATTCTGTTTGCACTTGTTTTATGCGTCTTTATAGTCATGTTGTTGTCAGTTTGCATCTTATTGTGGTTGTTTATAGTCTGTGGCTTCTCTAAGTTTCTCTGTAGTTTTTTGTGTTTCTTTGTAGTCATGATTGTCATGGTCCGGGTGAATACGGGGTGTTTCCACTCTGCTGGGCTCCACCTTCAGACGGAGACTCCAATCAGCTTCCACACCTGGTTCCAATCAAGTCACCTGCATATAAGACCAGCGTTCACGACAGACCCCTGCCAGATCTTCTGCTAACACATGTTAGTGCTAGGCCGCCAAGCCCTTGCGAGAACTCTGGATTACAGTTTTTTCTCTTCACCGTGTTTTCTTTCCTTTTTCGCCATAGGACCCATCTGCCTGCCTCCCTGCTCAGCTCCCCACTCCAAGCCTATTCTGGATCTGCTTTGGACACTCCTCACCCGGAACCCCCTGGACACTCCCTCCTCGATTGACACTTCAAATCTGCAACGCGTAAGCCCAAACCACCATAGCCTAATCCTCCAGCTGTGATTCATTGAGACTACCACTGACTACTTTCCTCCTCTCATCATAGTGACTTCACACCTCCCTCCAAGCCGCTGCCCCCTTTCTCCATTCCCCGGATCCCTCTGTGGAATCCAGCCCTCAGAGTTTCTCGTTCACAGTTTTGCCTCACAGTTTTCCGCTCATAGCTTTCACAGTTCATAGCATGCATAGGTTATAGCATTCTTAGTTTTCTGTTTTGTAACTTCGCTCAGCTCTGTAAATAAACTCTGTGCTCACGCCCGTTTTGCCTCCCTCTGTGTCTGCATTTGAGTCCACACCCACTGCCTGGCCCTCTCGGCCGTAACACATGATCACTTTGCATCTCTTTGTGATTGTTTTGAATGTCTTTGTAGTTACGCTGTCGACAGTTTACCTTCCTCCTTACTGCACGGCATGGATGTGTCCAGTTGATGGGTGGAGCTTACACATTGCGTAACATATCCGTGATGCTAACAAGAGAATCCGTTTTTTCATTCTGGAAGTGTAGGTCATAGAGGATGCCAAGATTCAGCCCGAGTTGTTCTGCTTGCGTCTGTGAAATGCACTAATAAAAACCTCTTCAAAAAGTGTGGCTATGAGGCAACAGCATATTTTATTTCATTTCCTCTTTTATACACTATTTTGAAAAGAAAACACATTGAATAAATACAAATTTAGAAAGCAACAGATTTTCACTGTATTCTCACAGCAACACATGGTTACTTTTATGGAGCTCTCTCAGGACTAGCAGAGGGATTCGTTTTTGCAGAACCCACCCTAAAGCAGACTTGAGCCACACACTGCAATGGAACACTTAAGACTGGGCATGCAGATGTTGAACCCTACCCCTTTTACAGACACAGAGAGAATGGATTGGCACACTGAGAGACGTTAAGAACATCTAGAAACACCCGAGGGAAGGAAAAGAAATATCTATATACACAAAGAATAAATAAAGAGAAATTAGGTCCAACACAACTTCACTGTACAGATATGTCCACTGGATGTGACCAACCTCTTTCCAGCTCAGCCTCACGTAACCCTTTGACCATCAGCCCCACCCACGATAAATTCAAATATAATATAGTACAACATGGGATGTTCACCAACAGCAGATTGCACCATTTACAATGTTACAAACAAACACAAAATATCATCCAGTGCCTGGCCTATCAGTGTTCAGCGTTCATAGTAAGGCAGGATACAGCAGAGATCTTTGTATCCAGTCAGTGAGTTGTACAACAGGTAGTCCGGCTTGCGTTGACAGTGGTTTTATAAAGTAAACTCCACTCCTGTAGTGTTCAACATTTTGGCAGATGTAGAGTGGCAAAAAAAAAGAGTACGGGTTGGATCAGAGCGCAGAGGAAAAGCCAAGAAGGGTGTCAGTAGTATATTACAAATTTTCCCGGGAACTTTCTCTATCAGCCTTTATGGCCGATGTTTCATCCAGGCGTTGCGAACGAGAAAAACAGAGCTGCTTACACGGACTAAGGAGGCAGGAGCAAAGATCCAAGATGCAGGGTCCAGGATCTGGACCGTCTACTTGAGGATTGACGAGATGAAAGGGATAGATGCTATCTGACTTCCAAACAGTCCAGGTACTCCTGGGCCAGGTCATAGCAGAACCGGTACTGTTCCTGGAAACAAAACAGAGGCTTGTTTTTTCATATCATGATTATTAAATATTGTTATGCAATTAAAGTGGTTACATCTAGACTATTTTCTTGCACTGAATGAGATAAACAGTGCTTGGCCATGTCAAACATACAGTAATGTGATAACTCAATAACGTGTTATTCTTATCATATTTCTCTGTAAACATACTGTTTGAAAAGTTATTTTACAAACAAATTAGCTGAAACAAGTTGGGAATGTATGCATTTCCAATCAACTCAGACTACGTTCAACTTGAGATAGGCACGTGCATGAGTAGACAAAGTAAGTCATCATCAATGACACTGTGATTTACCACAGTAACATGTAAATAAAAACCAGACTGGCCAATATAATCCAGTGATCATGAAAAACAGGAGAGATTTTAATCAGTTTGGTCCACTCTGTCATCATTAAAGAGAGAATAAAATTTTGATATAAAATATACATATTTTTATACTGTTTTTAGTTATCATTTAGGGTTAGGGTTGAATTTTGAATTGAAAGCTATGATCCAATAGGAACAACATGTAGGCGACGGAAACAGAAGATAAAAATCAGGAGAAACAGATCAGACAAAGTTTATTTATAAATCTGTGGTTTTAGTTACCAGAGTGAACCTGCCACAGAGACATTTTTAAATTCAAACGCGTTTATGTTTTTTCTTTATAATTCTTCAGTAGAAATCTAAAGCACTGATGGTAATGTAGTAACCTAATGTTTTTCTTTCTTTTCCAATACGAAATGTCATTATTTCTTCCCTCACTGGTTAAAAATGCTTTTAGCCCCAACCCCCCACCGATGCCCATCAACAGGTTTTCTTTATAGAGTCTGTTACCCCGGTAACAGAGAGAGTTTAAGTGAACTCTTTCCAGAACAGAAAAGTAGGAGTTTCCCCTCATCTCAGGGTTAACAAAATCAGAGCTATTAGCTAAACCTTCCTAGAATAGTCCCAAAGTCTCCTCCTTGTTGCTTACCATTGTCTCCACCATGTTTGGCTTAGAGTTGCGCAGCGTTTTGGCAGCAAAGAACACATCCACAATGCTGTGGTGTCGAATCATTTCCAGGATCATGGTGCAAGCACAGAAAGTACCGCTTCGACCGCCGCCATTCCTACTCCAGAAGGAATGAACAAAGACACACACAGAAAATAGAAGCATAAAGACATGAGTGACCTAATAAAGATGTGGTAGAGCAGCTCACACAGCCTCTCAGAGGGGGAGCTACAGAGTGAAATGTCACAGTTTGACTGACCGCAGATCAAGCATGCTGCCAGAAAAAGGCCAGCCGGCAGTCATGCAAGATGAATATCTGAGTAAAGTTCTCATTAAAATACAGGAGCTGGGATTTAATCAGATATTAAATGTCTTACACATAGCCTGATCTCCAGAGAACAAAGGCCCTGACATGAGGATAGGGGACAGTAATTATGCGGCGCTGCTGCCATATTTATTGGATAATATTTCTTCAGCAAAACTGAAATTTAACTGTTAAGAAAAGAACTTTCTGTAACCATTTAAAGAAAAAGTAGCAAGGCGAACAATGTGAATGTAAGCTGTCATTACTCGCAGTACGGACTACTTAAGGTCAAACATTCAGAAATTCAGCCTTCAACAGAGTCTGAAAGAGACTGAGAACCTCAGCCTTTTAGACATGAAAACTTAGACCTGCTGTACTCATAATGCGAATGCTTGAATCCAGTAAATACTTTAAAAGTGCATAGACAAATAAATGAAGTAAAATTTCCTTTTGCATGATGCAAATTACATGCACAGCACTGTGAAAAAGTGTTCACCCTCTCCCTAATTTATTTCATTTAATTTTTGTAAATTTTTTGTAATAAAACAAATGCAATATTAGATTTAAATTAAAAAAAATTAAATTAAAAAGAATTACTCCCTGTTTGTGACAATGAGTCTTTCACATTGCAAGTGATCCAGGTCCTAAAGCAGGTACTCACATGGTGCCTTTAGTTAGCGCTTTGCTAGTCATTGTACATATATTCAGAGTGTACTGTGTACTCTACATCCATGGCCAATTTAAAATTAGTTAACCTAACATGCGTATCTTTGGACTATGGGAGGAAGCTAAAGCACCTGCATGGTGAACATACAAACTTCACACAGCAGGCGTTTTAACCAGGAACTGTGGTGCTGTGATGCAACCTTCACTATCTTTCTACCCAGTGCTGGTACAAAGCAAACAACCCCAAGTGCTTATTGTAGCAATGATAGCTAAATTAAAGAAACAGAATGGATGGTGCAGGTGTATGTAAGCAGACTCACAGGCAATGAACAATGGTGCGTCCTTCCCCACACTCCCTCTGCCAGTTGTGAACCTGAGCCAAAAGGCTAAGGAAGGCTTTCTTGGAGTCGGGCACATCACGGTATGGAGACCAGCGCAGGAACTGGAAGTGACGCACAACAAGCTGGCCCTCCTGAAGCTGCACAGGAGAGAAGCAGAAAAAGGAAAAAGCTTCATCATGCATGCTTCACACACTACAAACCCATTCAGAAACATATGTGCTTATCAGCCAGAGGCAATTCTGTCAGCTCTCAGACCTGTTCTGCTTCTGTACTTTTCTATTAGGAGGTTGTTAAAAACACATCAAACTCAGTTATCAACAAAAATGTAAACATAGTTTAGAAGCCATCAGATTTCATATATTCAATACATTCCTACCAAGCAGCACTAACCAAATCTTTTGAATTTAAAGTTACATTTGTACCTAAATAAAATATGCAAACGTTTTTGGTTTTAATTATCTCTGAGGCTGTTAGTAAAATCACAAACGGTCACTTGATCCATTAATATAAAAATATTGATTGGTGCAGCTTTAAAAGCATATTTTATTAGCGTATTTGATGGCTACTTGAATGTTTGACCTCACCAAAGCCCAGGCTATGTCCAAAAATACAGTTTCAACATTTCAGGGTCAAAGGTGTGTTTAACTGAAATTGTACACAACCTTTTTTTAAAAATTAAAGAAAATGTAGAGGATACTAAAACATTGCTTTATAGTGTTTTTAGTGAAGAAGAACTCCATAAGGAACCTTTAATTTTAAGGAATGCAAGAAGTAACGATGCCTCTGTTGTGAGGTAGAAGCGCATCACAAATAAGATCATGTTTGGTAACATGTAGGACCTGTGCTATCTACTGGACAATAGAATACCTTCTTAGGACAGAGTTTAATGGTGTCTTGCTCTGGTGTTTCTGTCTTCTCCGGATCCTGTGGAGCGCATGTGGGAACAGTTTCTGACATGATGTTAAGATAATTGAGGGGCCGAGTGGGATACTGAAGTAACAGGGGAGGTTAACACTACTGTGAGCTAAAGACAAGAGACACATCTGCTTCTGAAAGCACCTACAGAGGATTGTTGAGGATCTACTGAGGTCAAAGGATAGGAGGTGCAACTGCTGCTACAGGTCATGCTAAGCTACTCAGACAACACTCATGCACATGAGCAAACACAAAGACTCACTACTGGTAACACAAATATTTCATTCATACTCAAATGTTGGATATGGTCAAAATAAAAATAAAAAACTTTTTTAAAGTAATATTTGATATTGTATAATTGCTCAAATAAAACAAAAACTGCTTATTA